CGCCCCCGCCCCGCTGGCCGCCGTGGTCGGTCCGTCTCACCTGCCACCCCTGCTCCCTCCGCTCACACTCACCGAGCTCCCCCTGGTAGATGTCCGTCCTGGTGGCCCCTCCGAGGATGAATTCTGGGTTCTCCACTATCTCCTGGAAGAGTGAGATGTTCTCTGAAAACAGAACTACACCCTGACTCCTCTACACCCACAGTTTAAGGAATCATAGTATTGAAGGGCACACCCAGAAAGCTCATGGACGTTCTGTCAAGACCATCCCCTGAGACCTTTCCCACGATTCCCGCCAAACCGAGGTACGAAGCCTCAAGGTGACGGTCACACGTGTACTCTCCGTGAGCCCACGCTCTGCGTCTCTGCTCTCTTTCTCCTAAACTCTACGCGACCCCATGGGACTGACAACCAGGGGGCAGCGGCCGCTCAACCCCGGCTTGCTCCCCGAATCTGTCTCCAACGACCCTCTTCTCCGACTTTCACTCTCCTATTGCCTTTCTCTCTTCTTCTGCCTTAAGCCCTCCCTTTTCTTCACTGTCTCCAGCTTTCATCAATGTACTCGCAAAATCACCGGGACTCGTGTGGTAAAATCTTTCCTGCACGAAGTGAGGAACCCACACGCTACAGGCCAGCCCAAGGCAGACAGGCATGGTGCCTGGAGCTCATGGCCATGTGTCTGGTGCACACAGGCTGCCATGGGGTCATGGCCACGTGCATGGTGTATGCAGGCTGCCAGGAGGTCATGGCCACGTGCACGGTGTATACAGGCTTCCAGGGGCCAGCAGGGGGATAGAGGGTAAGGGCCATGCCTTTGGGGACCAGCTGTCCGGGGAGCAGACATGGTGTATGCAGGCTGCCAGGAGGTCATGGTCACATGCATGGTGTATGCAGGCTTCCAGGAGGTCATGGCCATGTGCATGGTGTATGCAGGCTGCCAGGAGGTCATGGCCACGTGCACGGTGTATACAGGCTTCCAGGGGCCAGCAGGGGGATAGAGGGTAAGGGCCATGCCTTTGGGGACCAGCTGTCCGGGGAGCAGGCTGAGAAAGGGGGAGGGAATTGCATGGAAGAAAGCAAATGGTTTCAGGCAGATGGGGAGTCGGGGAGAAAACCCCGAGGAGGTCGGGCTGGTGGGCTGCAACCATGTGTCTGGTGCACACAGGCTGCCAGGAGGTCACGGCCACGTGCATGGTGTATGCAGGCTGCCAGGGGCCAGCAGGGGGCTAGAGGGTGAGGGCCATGCCTTTGGGGACCAGCTGTCCGGGGAGCAGGCTGAGAAGGCTGAGAAGCGGGGAGGGAATTGCATGGAAGAAAGCAGATGGTTTCAGGCAGATGGGGAGTCAGGGAGAAAACCCCGAGGAGGTCGGGCTGGTGGGCTGCACTTCAGCCTGTGGCTGGCTGGCCCCCTCAGGCTGGGACACCCCATCCCAGACCAGCTCCAACTCACTCAGACCCACAGCCCCTCCCATGAGGCTGGTGCAGCCCACCCACACCCACTGGGAGAGCCTGTCACCCCACCCCACGCCAGGCCCCCAGGACATCCGCCTCAGTGACTCCTGGCCCCGGGCTCCCTGGAGGGCCAGGCTGGCTGTCCCCCACCCTGTGACCTCCCCCTGACTTGTCTGATTCCGGCTGCCACTCCCCGCCCCCGAGCTCAGCTGTGTTTGACAAGGGGGTGGCGCTGGGAGCACACCTCGCCCTGCGGTCTCACGGGGCAGGACACGCGCCACAGACGTGCTGAGCAGAAATGCAGACACGCTTGAGCCACAGAGGCCTGGGGGGGGGGCCGCTGGAAACTGACTATTTCCCTGCCGCCCCCGCTGCCCCCACACCCGGGACCTGAGCTCCGTCCTGCAAGCGGCACCCCGGTCCCCACCCCACACCTTGTCCCCAGTCCCCCAGTCTGTAAGGGACGATGCAAAGCCCCGAGCCTCCCCCACCCCGACTCCCGGGTAGGAAACCGTATCTGGGGATGAGCTGTGTGTGTCGAGCTTTGATCTCAGAGAAATTCCAGGTTTGACCAAGAGAAGGTGAGCTGAAGGCTGCACGTTACACTCGAAGCCGGGATGGGGGTGGAATACAAGGGTGGGGCCTGTCCCCCCACCGCAGGAACCCTCCCAGCTCCAGAGCACCCCGTGCGCTTGGCTGACCCCGGAATGGGGCCACACCACCACCCACGGCTTCCCCCACCCAGTTCTGCCCCTTCCCTCCCGCAGGTGCTGATCCTAAGGGCACCTCTGGGAAAATTATCAACCCCCACAGGCTGATTTTGTCTGGGGACCAGAGAGAAGGTGGTCTAGCCCGGCCGTTGTGGCTCAGCAGTTGAGCGTCGACCTAGGAACCAGGAGGTCACGGTTCGATTCCCGGTCAGGGCACTTGCCCGGGTTGCAGGCTCCATCCCCAGTGTGGGGCGTGCAGGAGGCAGCCAATCCATGATTCTCTCTCATCATGGATGTTTCTCTCTCTCCCGCTCCCTTCCTCTCTGAAATGAATAAAAACATATTTTAAAAAAAGAAAGAGAGAAGGCGGCCCAGCTGTCAGAGGGTGGCTGTCAGATGGGGGGTGGCATTTTCTGCCTGAAGGACAGAGGCAGCGGCAGCCGCAGGGGAGGGCTGCCCGAGGCAGGCGCACCCGGTGCCGGCTTTGCCAGCAGCCACACTGCGCTTTCGCGGTGGTGAGCTGTCCCCATGCCATCGGGAGGCAGCCTGGCAGTGAGTGCAGTGGCCTGGGACCAGCCCTGGCCCTACCCTGCCCTAGCCATGGGCGGCATTCATCTCTGGGCTCTGGGTTCTTCTTAGGTAGATGGGAGATACGATAAGCCCCCCTCTCAGGGTTGTTGGAGATGAAGCGATAGAATCCTGGCTAACAGGGAATGGTGCCCGGGCCATAGTAACCATTGGCTGTTGCCATGGTGACCATCGGCAGTTGCCATAGTGACCCTTGGCTGTTGCCATGGTAGCTGTGGGCGGTTTCCATCCTAACGGTTGGCTGTTGCCATGGTAACCATTGGCTGTTGCCATCTTTGAACTGTGCCAGATGGTGCGTGCAGCTGAGGGCGCAGTGGGGTTCGGGACAAAGGGGCTCCTGCTCCCAGGACACGTTCTGAGGCAGCGTACGGCGGCTGCACAGGGAGGCAGCCCCGGTGCTGAAATAGAGACGCCAGGTGCCCGGGGTGAAGAGGCTCCGCGGGGAGGCCAGGAGCTGGAGTCCGAGTTTCCCAGAGAGAAGGGCCTCCCAGGCGAACGGAGCATGTGGGCTGGAGGGGATGGATGCTGTGTGAGGAGGGGGCAGGGGGCGAGGGCAGCAGGGGGAGAGCCCTGCCTCATCCCCAGGCTCTGCTGAGCCCCCGGAGGGCGCTGGGCAGGTGGCCGGAGCCCTGGGGTAGGAGGTGTAGGTCAGGCAGGAGGCAGGGAGACCAGTTAGGAAGGGGGGAAGCTACTGGGATTCCTCAGAAGGAAGGCTCTGGAGGGCACTGGGCAGGTGGCAGGAGCCCTGGGGTAGGGGGTGTAGGTCAGGCAGGAGACAGGGAGACCAGTTAGGAGGGGGGAAGCTACTGGGATTCCTCAGAAGGAAGGCTCAGCCCTCCCGGGGCAGCTTTGCCGGCTCAGGGAGACGCCAGAGAACTACGAGCAGCTTGCACGCTACCCGGCAGGATGGCGTGTCGGCGAGCACATACACACATGGACACGCATGCACATGCACACAAGTACAAAGTACACACGCACACCTATGCACATGCACACACATATACGTATGCACATGAAAATACATACACATACACTTGCACACAAATACAAAGTACACATGCACACACGTGCACACACATACGTATGCACATGAAAATATATACACTTGCACACAAATACAAAATACACACCCGCACTCATGTACACACACACCTACACATGCACACATGTGCGCACACATATATGTTTTCACATGCAAACACACATGCACGCACACACATGCACACATATGCACATACACACATCCACGGGTGTGCGCACATACACATGCACACACTGCCTCCAACAGGAAAGAGCAGTACAGAGCTTACACCACGTCGATGGTGTGTGTGCACTCTGGGCCGGGCCCTGAGAGCCCGGAGGGTTTTGTGTGAAACAGCGACGTAACTGGAACGCGGGGCGATCAGGACGCTCCGCTGTAAGACGAGGCTCAGAGCTGAGGATGGAGATATGCACATGCACACACATATACGTATGCACATGAAAATACATACACATACACTTGCACACAAATACAAAGTACACATGCACACACGTGCACACACATACGTATGCACACGCAAACATATACACATGCACTCGCACACAAGTACAAAACACAACCCACACCCATGTACACCCATGCACACATGTATGTGCACATGCACACATATATGACTTCACATGCACTTGCACACAATACAAAGTACACACACGCACCCACATTCACACATATGCACATACACACATTCACGGGTGTGCGCACGTACACATGCACACACACACGCGTACACATGCGCACACACATACACATAGGCACACACTGCCTCCAACAGGAAAGAGCAGTACAGAGCCTTGCCGGCTCAGGGAGATGCCAGAGAACCGGGAGCAGCTTGAACGGTACCCGGCAGGATGGCATGTTGGCGAGCACATGCACACACGGACACGCATGCACATGCACACATGCACATGCACACAAGTAGAAAGTACACGCACATGCACACATATATGTATGCACATGAAAATATATACACATGCACTTGCACACATGCACTTGCACACAAAGTACACATGCACACACGTGCACACACATACGTATGCACATGAAAATATATACACTTGCACACAAATACAAAATACACACCCGCACTCATGTACACACACACCTACACATGCACACATGTGCGCACACATATATGTTTTCACATGCAAACACACATGCACGCACACACATGCACACATATGCACATACACACATCCACGGGTGTGCGCACATACACATGCACACACTGCCTCCAACAGGAAAGAGCAGTACAGAGCTTACACCACGTCGATGGTGTGTGTGCACTCTGGGCCGGGCCCTGAGAGCCCGGAGGGTTTTGTGTGAAACAGCGACGTAACTGGAACGCGGGGCGATCAGGACGCTCCGCTGTAAGACGAGGCTCAGAGCTGAGGATGGAGATGGTGCTGACGTTGCCGGGAAGCGTCATAGTGAGAGCAGCCGTCGCTTACCGAACACGTCTGTGTGCTGGGCTGTGGGTCCACATTGGTCCTTACTGACCCACCTACCAGGTGAGAAGACTGAGGCTCGGGTAGTGAAGTGCCGTCACCACAGTCACAGGACATGTGAGTGGGACCCGCACTGAGGTCTCACCTTCAGGGCCAGCACTCTTTGTCCCTCCTCCTCGCCCACGGCGACCTGTCCCCACGGGAGCCGCTCCCAGGCCAGTACCCACCCCACCGCCCTGAGGGAAGGATCCGGCGCTGCCCGGACAGAGGTCGGCCCTGACTAATCAGCCTGGCAAATATTGACTCCCGGGCACCAGCTGGCGGCCCTCGGGACCTCGCGGCTGCTGGGCGGGGTGGCACGGATGCAGGCTCCCTTCGGGCACGAAGACTCCTGTTTCGTGGCCTCCCTCCATCACGCCTGTCCTGGGCACCTGCCGGAGTGCCCACCCCGCTGAGCACCCAGGAAAGAGTGGCCAGAAGCCACTGGGCACTCCCCATGGGTCACCTCAGCGTTGGTGCCCACTGGGGGCTCTGAATGGCCACCCACCATCTCGCAGGTTCACCCTCCATGTGTCCCTGAGTCTTGTCCTGGAGAAAGCTCTGGCCCCCACTTGCTCACCGCCTCCTGAGCTTGGGTGGGAGGCAGAGAGCTGGGGGGGGGGCGCAGCCAGGGGCCCTGGGTACCAGCCCCTGCGTCCCCACCTGCTGATGCATGTCCCTGAACGTCACTCTGTCAGGGGCAGACATGGAACAGTGGGGACCCGCGACCATGATAAGAAATATTCATGCTGCTCTGTTATCCCGGACGGTTCTGTTCTGATAGAGGAAGCGCATCCTACCCTGGCTGGGAGCCGTACGCCCCGGGACATGGGCGCTCCCATCGGAATGCGGTCCATCCCCCTGTCCCGAGAGCTGCCCACCATCATGGAAAGACTGACAGCCTCGTGGCCGACACAACCTGGTCCCGGAGGCACCCGGTCTCTATGTACAACCCGCAGCCCCTACGGCCTGTGATCTGGTCCCAGGGTGCCTGGCGGTGCCCGCCCTCTGCGACCCCCTCCCAGCCTGCAGGACCTGTAACCTGTAACGATTCTCCCGTGCGTCCTGTCCCGTGCCTGTCACTCCTACCTCCCCAGGTCACCCCTGTCCTTCTCCCCAATATAAGCAGCTGGCTGATGGGGGTGGGGGGCAGAGCAGATGTTTGTGGGTGCCCCGCTGCTCTCCACGCTGCCGGCAGGACTGGAATCAACGCTCATCTAGGACTCAACCCCGTCTCTGCTGAATTGGCTCAAGTCATGACCGGCAGCCCGGACCCCTTGGCTGTCCGGTTACGGCTCCTGCCCTCACAGCGACTGCGCAGGAGCCACAGCAGGTGAGCCAGTCAGGGGTGGGCACCCCCTCCAGCCCCTCTTCTCCTTGCTGCCCCCTCCCAGGAGTGCCCCCCTCTCCTCCTCGCCCCGCCCCCGGCTGCACTCACCCCTGGCCGCTTCCACACGAAGGGGATCTGGGGCCTCTCACTGTAGAAGAGAGAGGAGTCGGTGGCGGGGAGGTCGGGGTCCTCAAACAGGACCCCCTTCTGCAGGCACTCCCGCCGCAGCTGCTCGAAGCTCTGGCCGGAGGAGTGGGTGCCGCGGGCGTCCCTGGGAGTGGGGTGCTCCTGGGGCCCCGGGGCCCGGAGGAGGTAAGGCATGGCTGCTCCCCTGGCAGCAGACTCGGGCTGGCGAGAAGCGAGTGCCAGGCAGGACGGAGCCACTCAGGGCACCGAGCCCAGGCCCTGGGGCTCAGCCTCTTTGCCTGGGATCCTCCCTGCCCCACGGAGGTGGGACACACCCGGATGGCAAACGCCAGGGAGGGCCCTCTGCCCTCTGGGCTCCCGCAGACCCACAGGGAGTGTGAGGCCGGCCAGGGCCAAGCAGGGGCAGCACCCTCTCTCTAAAGCACTGGGGAGACCCAGTGGGGCCAGGGGGCCGGGGGGACATGGCTTTCTGGGGAGAGAGCAGGAACCCACCCTGGGCCCACAGGCGGCTGCCAGGGCCGGTTTGCTCAGGACGAGGGCGTGTCCTGAGTGGGAGAACGGCGGTTTTGCCCTGGGAAAGGGGCTTAGGAACAGTATATGTCACTAAGGAACAGCATATAGAACGGCCATCACTATGGTCTGCATTACAGGGCCGGAGCTCGCTCACGGGGCCCTGGGTACCAGCCCCTGCGTCCCCACCTGCTGATGCGTGTCCCTGCACATCCCTCTGTCAGGGGCAGACATAGAACAGTGGGGACCCATGGCCATGATAAGAAATATTCATGCTGCTCTGTTATCCGTGACAAGGGCCTCCTTGTTTTTATTTAGAGGAGGGGTGGCAAATTGTTTCTGTAAAGAGCCAGATATTTGTGTTGATTTCAGAGAAGAAGAGAGAGAGAGAGAGAGAGACATGATGAGAGAGAATCATGGATCGGCTGCCTCCTGCACGGCGTCTATCCAGCCCTCGCCGCGGGCATGTGCCCCGACCGGCAATCGAACTGTGACCTCCTGGTTCACAGGCCGTCGCTCAGCCCCTGAGCCACGCCGGCCGGGCCTCTTTTCCCTAAACCGCTTTGCAATACTTTCCGCAGAGGAAGAGCTGATCACTAAATAAATATTTTTTTTCCGGAGCTGGGTTGTTGCAAGAGCTGGCACCTCGGGCCGCTGGGACCGCACGTCAGTCATCCCAGCGACAGAGCTTCCGTGGAAAAGGCGGACGGACGGCATGTTTCCATCGGGGTGGCCGATCCTTATCGCCGCTCACCGGCCGGTCTGTAGACTTTTCCCCGGGACGAGCGCCAAAGCAAACACTGAGCTCAGCCGCACGGGGCGGGGGCGCCAACGCCAGGACGCCTCCACGGAGAAGTGGGCTTGGACCTTGTGCTTCCCGTGTCTGATTTACCGAACTCGGAGTGGACCACAAAGCAACCCGAGGACACCTGAGCAAGTGCCTTTTTCAACAAGAGCATGGCTGGCCCGCGTGGCTCAGGGGCTGAGCGTCGACCTAGGAACCAGGAGGTCAGGGTTCGAGTCCTGGTCAGGGTACACGCCCGGGTTGTGGGCTTGATGCCCAGTGTGGGGCGTGCAGGAGGCAGCCGATCCAGGATTCTCTTTCATCATCGATGTCTCTATCTCTGTCTCCCTCTCCCTTCCTCTCTGAAATCAATTAAAAAACAAAAATTTTAAAAAGGAAAGAAAGAAAGAGTCACCCCAGGCTGCCGCTGGCCGGCCGTCATGGGGGCAGAGGCCCCTCACACGCCCACAGGGGATGCGCTGTCTGGCGCCCGCGCCCCGCCCCCGGGAGCTGCAGTGAATGTGTAACTGGGCCGTGTCCCAGCGCATTCTGTTCAGCAGCAGGGAGGGCATCGATCACCCACTTCCTGGAAGCTGTCCCAGCAGGAGTCCCTCTGGCGTCCAGCCCCCTCATCAGCCTGGCCGCTGGGCCCCCTCCCCCACCGTGATGTAACCCCTGCCCCCAGCCCGGGCACAGGACAGTCCGGGAACGGCTCCATCCCCGCCCCTCACTTATAAATAGGGCGTCCGTGGCCCGGCCAGGAAAGAGGCTGCTCTGGTCTTGGAGACAGAACAGAAGGTCCTGGTCTAGTTTTGGGGACAGAAGCAGGAGGTCTTTGTGTTGGGAGCTGACGCAGAAGGTGCTGGTCTTGAGGGCGGACGCAGAAGGTAAGCCGGGAGTCCCTCTCCACACACCACCGGAAGCCCCAGCCAACAGTCGCTCCCAGGACAGCTGAGCAGTCTGCTGGGCCCAGAAAGTGGGGTGGGGGTGGGGGCAGAGCGGCTGGAAGGTGGTAGCTAACCTGCAGCCAGGAGCCAGAGGACAGGAGCCAGGGGCCAGGGGACAGTGGAGACCTGCACTGCAGGGCACTTGACCACTGAAGACCCAGGAGATGCGTTCCCCTCCGGTCCAGCCAGCCCTGCAGACCTGGGCTGTCCTCCCTCGGCCCCACCCTGGGTCCCGCCAGAGACCTGGTCCCTCTCCCAGGCGTCACGGTGGCCGGTCCCCCCCACCAGGTTCATGGTGGCCGGGAGTCCACTGGGTCCTCTCCCAGCCAGAGGGACTGCGCAGCTTGCGGTTCGGGAAGGGGGGCTGGAGGAGGAGGGGGGCCCGGCTCAGGGGGCCCAGGGCTGTGTCACTGAACCCCTTTGGAGCAGAGCTGTCTCCAGTCCTGGGCTCACAGGCCTGGGTCTGTGGAGTCAAGCTCATCGCAGTCTCCCCGAGCCTCGGTTTGCTCATCTGTAAATGGGGCCAGTAGCAATTCCTGGCCTCCCCTTGCTCATGGACTAGGCGCCGTGGTCGGCAAACTGCGGCTCTTTGGCCCCTTCAGTGTGGCTCTTCCTAAGCCTTAGGAGTACCCTAATTAAGTTAATAACAATGTACCTGCCTATAGAGTTTCACTTTAAAAAATTTGGCTCTCAAAAGAAATTTCAATAGTCGTACTGTTGATATTTGGCTCTGTTGACTAATGAGTTTGCCGACCACTGGACTAGGGTGTCTGTTAACAGAACATGAAAGTGCTTTCTAAATTTTCGGATAAACTAAAAAGGCAAATTCTTACTATTTCGTTCAGGAGGCGGTCCAGATCGGTGCTTGTGTGTGTGTGGATTGGGGCTTCAAGGGGTTTGGATCCTGGTTGTGTCTCTTATTGGCCGTGTGGCCTTGAGCCAGTCACTGAACCTCTCTGTTCCTCTGCAAAACAGCATTAATTACTTTATTTGCCAGCTATTTATCAAGTAGCTGCAATGGCCCCGGGCACTTTTGGGGGCCGAGAGGTGGTATAGGTCAGCGAACAAAACAGTGAGAACCCTGCACTGTAGGGGGTATGCATTCACCTGGGAGGAGAGAGGCAATAAACACTAAACATCTCTATATATAAAAGGCTAAGTGACTGACCGTACGTATGTCTGACCGATCGGCCGGTACATAGGACGCGCACTGGCAATTTAAAAATAAACGTTGACTCGCGCATGCGCAATACATATAAAGCTCTTGCTGGTGCCAATCACACGCGTGTTTTGGTTTTATAATGCTATATTGTATATACCACTTTGACATGTAATTTTTTTTTTGCAGCAACGTCATTACCGCATGAATCTTTCTTCTAATTAATTTCCTTTTAATGTGCACGAATCTGTGCACCGGGCCACTAGTGATAAATAAACAGACAGACAAACGATATGGAGTGTGACAAGGTGACCAGGGCCAGGGTGTCTGGAGGCAGAGCGCAGTGTCAGCGTGAAGTAGGGCGTCAGGGAGCTCCCCGCAGGAGGGGGCACGGGTGAGAAGAGGAGAGAGGCCGAGGTAGAATCTTTCTTCTAATTAATTTCCTTTCAATGTGCACAAATCTGTGCACCGGGCCACTAGTGAGAAATAAACAGACAGACAAACGATACGGAGTGTGACAAGGTGACCAGGGCCAGGGTGTCGGGAGGCAGAGCGCAGTGTCAGCGTGAAGTAGGGCGTCAGGGAGCCCCCCGCAGGAGGGGGCACGGGTGAGAAGAGGAGAGAGGCCGAGGTAGGAAAAGCCTGGAGCGGTGCCTGGCAGTGCCAAGCGTTACGTAAGTGTCAGCTGCCGCCCTCGCCATTTCCATTGAGCCACCAGGTGTAGGGACACTGAGAAGGGGGGGCTGGTGGCGAGGGAGACGGAGCAGGGGTGAGGGAAGAGAGAGCACGGGGCCAGGACCACCCACGGAGCCTGGACCCCTGCTGCCCGCTGACCCAGAACCCGAGGGGCAGGAGAGCTGATCACAGCCTCTGCCTTGAAAATGACCCATGAGATGGCGTCACCTGTGCTGTTCACCGGTGCAAAGTGGGAGGGGCTTGTGCCCTGCACGGCCCATAGGTTTCCCCTGATGCCGCGACCTTTATCTGAGGCTTAACACGTGCAACAAAACCCAACGAAAGCACGCCTCCTCCGGGGCCACGTGTTCTGCACCTGGGTCCTATAGATGTTTCCTTCTTTAAAAAATATATTTGTAGCCCTGGCTGGTGTGGCTCAGTATATGGAGCGTCAGCCTGCGGACTGAAGGGTCCCGGGTTTGATTCCGGTTGGGGACACACGCCGGGGTTGTGGGCTCGATCCCCAGTGTGGGGCGTGCAGGCAGCAGCCGATCCATGATTCTCTCTCATCATGGATGTTTCTGTCTCTCTCTCCCTTTCCTTTATTTTTTCCCTTACATTTATATATTTATAAAATATATTTGTAAATTTTATTGATCTCAGAGAGAAAGGGGGAGGTAGAGAGAGATAGAAACATCCATGATGAGAGAGAATCATGGACCGGCTGCCTCCTGCATGCCCCACACTGGGGATCGAGCCTGCAACCCGGGCCTGTGCCCTGACCGGGACTCGAACCGTGACCTCCTGGTTCATAGGTGGACGCTCAACCACTGAGCCCCGCCGGCCGGGCTATAGATGTTTTCTGGGGACCTTGAATCCATTTCTTCTTGAAATTCACAGACATGAGGGGTTTCTCCAGGCGAATGGCTGCGGGGACATGGGAACCAATCGGGCCGAGGGCACTCAGTAACCGCCTTTCACCCTTCACCTTCCACCTTTCAGGGCCCGCAGACGCGCGATGAGTCCCGCAGGCCTGGGCCTCAGGGCCGCCCTGCTCTGCCTCTTGGCCTGGGCCGGCCTGCCCGCTGCCGACCGGCTCTACATCCACCCCTTCCACATGCTCGTCTACAGCAAGAGCAGCTGCGAGCAGCTGGAGAAGCCCAGCGGGGAGGCGCCCCCGGACCCCACCTTCACGCCTGTCCCCATCCAGGCCAAGACGTCCCCGGTGGACGAGGAGGCCCTGCGGGAGCAGCTGGTGCTGGCCGCCCAGAAGCTCCAGGGCGAGGACAAGATGCGGGTGGCCACGGTGGGCATGCTGCTCAACTTCATGGGCTTCCGCATGTACAAGACGCTGACCGAGACGCAGGCCGCGGCCGGCGGGGCCGTCTTCTCCCCGACGGTGCTCTTCGGCACCCTGACCTCCTTCTACCTGGGGGCCCAGGACCCCACGGCAGGTCGGCTGCAGGCGTTCCTGGGGGTCCCCGGGGAGGAGCAGAGCTGCAC